AGTGAGAGTGAGAGTGAGAGTGAGAGTGAGAGTGAGAGTGAGAGTGAGAGTGAGAGTGAGAGTGAGAGTGAGAGAGAGAGAGAGAGAGAGAAGAGAGAGAGAGAGAGAGAGAGAGAGAGAGAGAGAGAGAGAGAGAGAGAGAGAGAGAGAGAGTGAGAGAGAGTGAGAGAGAGAGAGAGAGAGAGAGAGAGAGAGAGAGAGAGAGAGAGAGAGAGAGAGAGAGAGAGAGAGAGAGAGAGAGAGAGAGAGAATGAATGAATGAATGAATGTGCACACATTGCATAGATATATAATCATACAGATTTTAGTATCAGTCTTGTAATGAAAAAAAAAAATAATTTTATTAATTACAGTGACCCCCCATAAGGACTGTACATTCCTATCCACTGAACCACAGAGCTGTGTTGGCTTCTGGTTTGCCTTGGAAGACGTAACCCTAGAGAATGGCTGCCTCTGGTATAGTCCTGGCTCTCAGAACCAACCTACACAGCGAAGGTGCTTTTGTTTTGTTTGATATATTCCTTTTTTTGGCTCATTAGAATATGGCATATATGAATCAGAGGGTGTATAGATCAGGCATTCATTTATATTACTTGTCTGAATAATCTACAAAGAAAGCTTTGTTTTATAAAACCATTCAAAATACTTTTCAGGTTCATCCGTAACCCAGACAAGACAGGACCTCTAACTGTCTTCTCTCACCCACCAGATCCTGATGACCCTAGCAAATATGTATCTGTACCAGTGCCAAAAGGTAAGCATTCACCAATATTTCCAATGACCTTAATAATTAAAGGCAGAAGCACAATCTTTTTTATCGTCAAATTTTGTTCTTATGTTATATCATACTAAAAAAGTACATTGGACTACAAACTTCACCGTAGTTAAAAATGATAATGAGAAAACTGGGCTGCAACTGTTCAATACTGTGTGCCTCCTTTGTGATTTCTAAAAATATACATATATTCTAAAAAGCACAGGAACAAATTCTATTTCACTTATGAAGGTTATGAATGTAAATAAATAAAATGTTTTATGTTAGGACACTTGCATTTTTTTTAGTGAAGTCTGAATTTTATCTGATTTACAAATGAAAATAACAAAAAATCATTAAAATAATTTTACCATGGCAATGTGAACAAATAACTGAAAATAATGCTCATGCAAAAATAACCTTACTTTGTAAATGTAAACACTCAAACTAACCAAACATAATTCAATACCAAAGTACTTTGAAAGTCCTCACACTAACTAATAAACCATCTTACAGGGTCACTGGTTCTTATCAATGGACAGGTGGATCACAAGAGTGCTAAAAACACTTCACCAAATTCTCGGCACATTTATACTTTTCACGTCATTGAACGCCACAACACCAAATGGGACGAGAAGAACTGGCTTCAACCCACTCCCCGCATGCCTTTCACAGGACTTTATGAGAATGAATCATAAGGTTGTAACCATAGCTCATAATTAGGGCAAAGACAAATCAATATGCTCAATAAATGAATGTGCAATATTCAGATCTTTATAGAACTTAGCCATCAAATATATAAAAATGAAATTATTTATGTAATCCAGTATCTAGTGCTTATATACATGAGATTTTTTATGCATATAAAATTAAAGCGTACATGTAAAAATGCAAAAACTTTCATAATAAACCAAAACAGATGCATGTGTAGGACCTATTCCATATCATTACTGTTGTTGCTTTTTATGGTTTTGACTAGAGATATTTTAAAAAATACAGAATCCTTGGGATTATAACTTTTAACTATTCCACTCAATGATACAGAGTAAATCAGATACTTTTTGTATATCAGAATTTTAGCCATTAAACTGTGCTCCCCCAAAAATACACTGTTTCAGGAAAGACAAAGATAGCAATATATACACACAAATAATGCATTTACATCTGTTTGCAGGGATATATACTCACTTATGTGTGCACAATATGGGAAGGTATGACAAAACTAGGGAGGGAGAAGAAAATATTGCCTCTGACACACCACTTACCAAATGTCTTTTAACTGATAAAAATCTCTGTATACCATGAAAAGGACATGAAACACCAAATAATAAACCTTTTTAATAGATTTCCTCTGTCAGAAATAACTGAAAAGCTTTGCAAACAACTCTCCCATGTGAGCTGATCAAACCAAAGCATATATCCTATCTGTTTACAGCTTGCACTTGCTGCCTAATCCATCTCGCAGGACTTCTAGAATCAAGCAAAGTCCTGAGATGCCTCCAGGATTTCATTAGCATAGGTTTCTGTGAAAGGAGTGGAGATATAAATGTTAGAAAAATGAGAGAGTAAAGTTCACAACTTCTATGGTGCTTTACCAATCTAAGAACTAACTGTAAATAAAATACTACTTGTAATGAAGTTGGTGGTACAAGTTTGTAAAGTGGTATTAGAGTACATTGTACCATTATTTGAATATAAAATGAAGTGCTATCACTGCCATTAATAAATATGTATTCCAACAAATTACACACGTAATTTCTTTGATCTGAAAACACCTCACTTCTATTGATTCAGAGCTGATTATGAGAAATTGCCCTAAACATGTAATCCTAAACTGCCTTCCACTAAAGATTGCAATATGGACAGTGATCAAACACCAAATGGAAACAATAGGGACTACATATGAAATACATAACATGGATACATCTTTCAAACATTCCCTTAATTGATGAAAAGATAAAGCAATTAAGGTGGAAACTATAGTTTGACAAATAGGCTCATATAACATATTGTGTCTACAGAGCTCAGCAGCTTAAACATTTTACTGATTGCTAAAAAAAAAAAAAAAAGGAAAAGCACACACTGCAGCACAACAAGACATATGAATATTAATAATAAAAATAAAAAAGAATGGTACTAAAAAATATGCTCACTGTTTTCCTCAATCCTGTTTGGGTCAGTAACAACACAATTCTTGATGTGGCACTTTCTCTCTATGTTTGTAGTAATGAGGCTATTTTCTATCACACACCTGTAGAAAAAAAGTGTTTGTTATTTTTTTTCAAACTAGTGATTAAGGGTGGTATTAACTAAATATAATCTGGCCTTCAAACTAGTTTGTTAAAATTATATGCAGATATACAGAACCAGAAAACCTGTATACTACAAGTTTCATGTCATAAATGGCAAGAAAAAAGAAAAAAGAAAAAAGGCAAATAAAAAGAAATTAAGAAAAGTATATAAGTCCTCCACAAACCATTAATTACTCACCCTTGTGCAATGGTAACATGATCACTTAGAACTGAGTTGACCAAACGTGTAAACGAGTTAATCCGACAATGGTTGCCTACAACACTACCAGTGATATTTGTCTTGTCACATATCACTGATCCAGAACCAATCATGCTGTCTAGGCTAACCTGGAACAAAGATTTGTTTCACAAATGGCTTTCTTTTCATGGTTTCATGGTATTTCCAATCATCATTATTATCTTTGCTATCAAAAATATGAAAATCTATAAAATGAAAAGTGTATAAGACCCTATAAATTTTCTACTTTTCACCATATATTTTCAGTGTCTTAAGGATCAAAAATCATAGTAGATGGAAAACTAACCTGTGCCTTTTCTTGTATATCAGCTGATGGGTGTTTAACACTCCATGCTGAGTTGGGATAAACTTCATTGAATAGCGAGTGCATCTAGAAAGAAAACATATCTTCTACAGATGTGCCCTTCCCTGTCATTTATATGTAAAGCCACTTTTTACTGTTCCTCAAGATATAAAAAGATAAATACATACCTAAACAACAAATACCTAAATCATACAGGATTTTGGTGCTAGGATTATGTACTGTCCTCAGCAATTATGTTTTGTGAAATTTGTTTACGTATAGATGGTTTCATATGTGCTCAGCACCAAGAAGTCAATAACTATGATCTTGCCTCATTTCCCATTCCTTGAATTTTCAGGAAAGATGATTATTCTTAAATGCTAACCATATTGATACTGTTATTATCATCATCATTGACATTATGATTTTCATGATGTCAATAACAATAAAAAATAAAAAACATTCATATTTCTGAAAATCTGGGAAAATGTTAAATAGGTGACTAAGATCTTGTGTAGCCATCTATTTATAAATAACACCAATAAACAAAACTCACAGTAGACATGGCCTGCATATACATGTTATTCTGACTTCAATGAGTTAAATAAGCTAAAAACCAAAGTATTTTGCATATCAACGAACAGGCTGCAATAACTCCCTATATAGACTGTAAACCATGAATCACGCATCATTTTATTTACGAAGTCAAATCTGTACCAACCTTTCGATTGAGCTCCCAGTAACAATTGAGAGTGTTTGCACGAATGCAGTATCCAGGATGGTGGTAAACGTGGCACACTCGGGCATCAAGTACCTTTGAGTTGTGGTGCCGTGAGAGAACTACACTGCTATTGTACTTTGTAACAAGGTCATTGTACTCTTCCTCCTCCATTACATCACAGATATCTGTTATCAAAAGCAACATTTAAGAATCTGAGCTAATTGAAACATGGAAAGAGATAAATCATTGTCAGTATGATGACTTGTTTCCAATTATGGTAATATTACCTTACTACATTTCATGCAACTAGTAACTAGTAACATACCTAAATTTCTCTCATTTCTCTCCTTTGTTGGGGGGTTCATTAACTGACGTGAAATAATATGTGGAATAATTTCTGCTTTCAATGAACCCATTTCAGCACATGGAGACCTGAAATATATGGGTAAATCTGTCTGTTAACCAGACTTCTGTAATTGGGTAAATGAAGATTGGAAAATGTAGAAAAATTAATACAAATTAGATATTACAATAAAACAAAACAGGACTAAGCAAGGTGAAAGAAGTAGTCTATAGATGTTAGAAAATATTAAAATGATTTGTAATTAATACATATCACATTTCAATCTACAAATAATAAATCACAGTGAAATTCAAGTGCAGACTTAACTGTATTTTAAAACTTTTCACTTGGTACTCCTCTTTCCAAGAGAAGGAAGAAGAAAAAAAAGAAAAGAAAACCTGACAATAGTTCATGACATCAGCTATTAGACAGAGAGTAATGACCAATAAATCATTCTAAAAAAATCCACACACAGCATGAAAAAACAACAACAAACTAATGAAACTATATCTTTGAAGCTTGTTTAAAGCACACACCATTGAAATATCAATACCTACTCTTTGGTCAATGCATAATCCAATAGCCACCTCTTCATCACATACAGATGAGCATCTGTGAGGGATGTCGACAAATCAAGTGACTTTGCCTTCTTCATGACACGACTAGACAGTGTGACTACCTCATCGTAATCACCTCCAGCAACAGCAAACATTAAACGGCCTGTACCACTTTCTGTGCAGATGACATCACTACCTGCAAACCAAAATAATAAGAGCTTTAGTCCAATATAAAGTGTGACAAACAGTTCAAAATACAACTTTCACATACACTATCTTAGATCACAAATATTTATCTGAAATGAATGTATATCATTTACAATAATACCAACTTTAGTTTCATAAGTATTTCTGGCTTCATGATATCACAACAAATAAACTTTGTGGTTGATTATTTAAAAAAACAATACAACATTGGGTCTTCTGTATACATTATCTTGTATTTTTAGAATTTCTGCAGTTATGAATTTATGTACCATTGTTCTGGTATTTGTTATACACCCATGTTGTTTCCATGTCACATATGTCAGCCTAAGACCTGAGAAGCATGTTCAGAAGTAAAGCCAGCATCCACAATCCTTTCAGAGCTTAATTACCCTGCCTGCCATTTTTTAGGTGCAACTAGGAGCCAAAAACTGAAAGCAAGACCTGGTAGACACTGAGACACAGACAGAAAAAAACATCAACTAGAAACAGCCCTATATTAAAAGAAATATTGATTTTATAGCTCTACCACTGTAATTTACCAGGTGTGAGGCAATCATTTCTCAAAGTAGCATGGCTACTGCATATTACTTTGCTCCTTTTAGATATCATTATTGCACTGCATGAGTGAAAGGACTAACAACTCATTTATCATTCTAGTAAGTGTATTGTTTTAATTCTGGACCCATTACTGACATGCAAAAACACTGAATATCTTCTAGCGTACTATATACAGGGTCTGTTTTCACTCACTGAGGGTGGATTTTGTCTTGGGACCAGGAGGAACAGCCTTGAGAAACTCTGGCTGGTGATTAGCAGTGAGCATAGTGAGTGCAGAACCTCTTGACCGATGCTGGTCCATGATGGACTGTAGTTTCACATCAGTTACTAGGTCACTACTAATGATCAGAACATCATCAACACTTTTCTGTAAAACACAATAATCCAAATGTTGTGATCTAGTTAAACAGATTATTTATCTGAAAATTCCAGCTATTTTCATAGATATACAGATAAGAAAAACCTCTATCATACATAATAAATTTTCTAAAAATGTCTGAAAATAAAATATTCCACTTCTGCACCTTGATCTTCCCAGCAATGTGACGAAGTGAGTCAGCTGTCCCTGGGTCATCGGATGTGTTGACAGTTGCAATGTCAAGGTTGAGCTTGAGGCTGTACTGCTCAACTACTTTGCTTATGCTCTGCTCAGCCCCAGCACTGACCACAACAGTTACCTCTGTTAAGAAAAATATAATCTAGATGAATTGGAAAAGCATTCAAACATTTGTTTATCATTATAACATTTTCAATACATGTTCTATCAATAACTATGGGGGAACTTATTAAGTCTAACTTTATGTACATGATTCCTTTGTTAACAAACCTTAACCTAATGCTGCCAGGGATGGTATGTACATGAAATTCTAACAGTGAGTTCAGTTTATGAATTGCATTTACACACAGATGCTCTACAAATGCTTTGTCAGCTATTTATCTATCTATCTATCTATCTATATATGTATATCTATCTATCTATCTATCTATATATATATATATATATATTCTTATTTTATATTATCAGTATTGCATAACAAAAAAAATCCTGGAAACTAAAGGAAGTGGGAAATCTGGTGAGGTCACATAAATTACTAACTGACTCCTTGAATAATGAACTCTTGTGGAGCCATCTATGTGTAGGTACATTTCACAAAACAATACTGCAGCAAACATTTTTCCAGATGCAATAAGTTAATTAATAATAAATGAATAAACAAATACCATAAAATAAAGATCACAAAATATAAGAGCTCCTAAAATGAATAGCAACCACCTAAAACCCAAATGGCAAAAGTTCCCCGCCAAAGACTCACCTGTGAAGCCTGCCTCCTGGAGCAGCTGGAGGGGATAGCAAATCATGGGGAGAGTTCCAAGAGGGAGAAGGCACTTTGGGGTGTGGTTTGTGAGGGTGGTCATCCTCATTCCTGGCCCTGCTGCCAGGATGATGGCTTGTGCTTCTAACTGCATCTCTCTGTGGAAAAAAGTATAAAATCAATAAAAGAGTGATCTACTTTAAGTGTTATACAA